GAGCTATGGTTCTACAGAAGGATACTAAGGATACCATAGATCGAACGTGTGAGCAACAATGAGGTTTGGAGAGCATGCAAACAAGGAGGAAGCTTATAATTAACATCAGGAAGAGGCAACTGAAATTTCGAGGACACGTAATGAGAAAGGCGCGCTTGGAGAATCTAAAACTCACAGGTCGAACAGAAAGAAAGAGAGATAAGGGAAAGCAACACATGACATACCTAGCGGGCTTAAGCAAGTGGATGACAGAACAGGTCCTGAAGAAGTAGCAAAAGGACAAAACTTATTAAGAGCTACACGGGATAGGGGGAAGTGAAGAGCCATGATCGCCTATGTCTTGATGGGACACGGGACATAAAAAGAAAGAATTAAATTATCTGCCTATATTTCTGAGATGAGGTATTATAACTATTTATACTATTTACACTGTTCGGACTGTTGTCCTCATTTTTATTGTCATATTCACGACGTTTCGGCCGTTGTTCGATCTGGCCTTCTTCAGTATCTGTCTATATTTTTGAAATGAGGTATTGTAATTATATATATACTATTTACACTGTTCGGACTGTTGTCCTCATCATGTTTCGAATTTCGAACCGAACCCCAAGGAAATATGGCCCAGTGGATAAATGCGTCCGTTGATTGATTCAAAAGTGACTTGACACAGAGAGTTGTGAGATCAATCCCTGACCAGAGCAGAGAGAACAACAACATGAAGAGTTGAGTTATCAAGGAGAATTAAATAAAACGGATATCCAAACGCTTGGCACGTGGAATTGGAACAATCTATCGCTGTGGAGTAAATAAAGTGTTCGTTTCGAAATTCCAAATATCACCTGAAGAAGGCCGGTGAGTTCAGCGAACAAAACGTCGCGAATATGGCAATAAAGATGAAGGACAATATAAATAATGTCATAAAAAATATTAGTTTGAATACCACCCTGCCGCCTCCTCCCACCCACTTTTTTTTTCTAACGATCCACTAAGGCCCTCCTTTTCTTCATTCTCCTCTGCACCCGGCGCGCAGTACCCCTAATTTACGAAATTCCAGATTTAGATGATCAAACTTTAATTAATTACTACTCTCTAAGTTAAAGTTCATTAATTTTGCAACCTTTTTATAGGCAAGAAACAAAAATTCAGTTGTTTCTAAAATAAACATGTCACCCAAGGCAGTGAGTATCGACCAGAGAAAATCCGTTAAGCAAGTATCACGCTGTCGTTTAATTCAATTTACATCAATAATCAATCAAATTCTCCGTTTAAAGGATTATAATTATCACAATGTCCGCACCAATGCAAAATCAAGATGAAATTAAACCGTTTTTTTTTTCATTGTCATTTAGAATTTGGAATAATCGAATTTGGATCGATTTGACTTGATGCTATATCAAAAGCACAAGCGGCCATGTAAAGTTAGTTCGATGTCAAGTATCAATCCGAGATAATATGAAATTTCCATGAAGCGACACCTGACAATTGATTTTTTATGCAAAGAGTACAGTTACACCTGCACTTCGCAATGACAAGTCACGGTTTACTGACAGTAGATCCATGAAAGTTGGAATTTTTTACATGGCACAGTTCGCTTTCATTAATACCTATTCCAGAAAATTGCGGGTCAAGATTTGATAATTTTTAAAAGGTCACAATTGATTTAAAATTAATACATTTCGTATTATTACCCATTTTTAATTTCTCCCGATTTTTAATTATAATGAAGTGATATTTTATAAATAATTACAGTATTAAGGACCACTTTATAGTGACTCGGATTGAGGAATCGGAGACCCGAGTTCGAATTCCAGTCGAATCCATTGCAATCACTTACGTGCTAATACCCTTGGGAAAAGTATGAATCCTCTTCTCTCCCCAGCTATGGGTAAATAGCAGGACAGACCGGGTTCTATAGCCTTGGATGGCAACAGGTCTACCGCAGAAAGAAATGGCAACCTACTGCGTGGGAAAAATCTGCCTCATCAGACATGTATCGAACGATACATGATCGCCTAAACGTGTACCACGCACGGCACATAACTATATGCTTTACATAACTTTTGTTTGAATTTCTGGGATAAGGATTTGTCATTATTTACACTGTTGAAGGCCAGAAATCACAAAATTCGAAACGTTGTGATAACAACAAAAATGAGGATAATAGTTCGCATATAAAGAGTGTAAATAAAGCTTTACATAGCAGTGATTCTCCAAGTCTAGCCGAAAGTATGAGACACGCAGTGAGGATTGAATTCAGTACTCAGTCGTAATTGCTCTCGTGAGACAATCTTGTTAACCATTGCTTGCACCACCTCGAGGTGCCCATAGTGATTTTCCAAGCGTAGCTCACAAAGCCGAAAGTATGGGGCACCTTATGAGGATCGAAATCACTATTCAGTCGTAATTGTTCTATCGAGGCAAGCTTGCTAACCCTTACATAACCTCGAGGTGCCCAAATCTTTGCATAGTATGTTTAAATTATGGTAGACTGCGTGCCATTCTGAGAATATAGAAATCGTTTTATTAATTTTACCGGATACTCTACGCTTCATATTATTAGACAAGTTAAGGAAACCTACAGAAATATCCGCAAAGTTTATCAGTTAAAAGGAAAACTTTATGAATTTATAAAATCCGGAAAACCGCGGAATTGACATGTCGGCAATTCCGCTGATTTCAATGCTGCATTTAGACAATATTAATGCAAAATATATGAATTATTTTCTGGTATTATTTTATCAGTTGTTCATCCATTGATTGTGTGAACTTATACGATGTTTGATCAAAAGCTGATGGGACTGTTGCTATAGTAACAGAAGGAAGCCGCTTGGTACGTATTGACTTTGTGCGTACACACTAAGTTATAAAGTTCTCGCTTACTTCCCTTGTTTCTAGCAGTGCTTGGAACGAAAGTATCTAATGTGTGGTCGTCTCTCAACACCTCAGATTTTCCATTCGATGGCTATGGCTTGTGCGGCAATTAAAGGCCAAGGGGAACATTCTCCAGGTTCGACAACCACTATATTCTCCAGATCTTTCCCTTTGCGACTTCATCCTCTTTCTAAAAATCAAATCCAACTTGAAAGGAAGATTTCAAGACGTTGAGGAAATTCAAGAGAATGCCTAATGCGACGAGACAGCTGCTCGTTATCAAACAAAAAAAGAAGTTCTAGGAATGCTTCCATCAATGGAAACGACGCTGGATAATGGGTGTAGATTCAGAAACGGAATACTTCGAAGGAGATTAAATGCCGAATTGATATGTGGTGTAGTTTTTAAAGCACCAGTCCCGATAGTTGGTATGTTTTTTCATGTCAAGTATAAAATGCTCAGCAACCAGAATAGTTGCCCAAAGTTCATTTACGAAAGTCAACTTTTATCTTCGGAATGGTAGAGAAAGTTTAAATCGGCGGTTCTTAAAAAACTGTTTCAGTCGTGTTGTGGATTCCGAGATGAAATCTGGTCTCAAATAAATGACAAACGCAGGAATGAAATATAGCAACTAAATGTATTGACGTAATAATACAATTGGTAATACGGTTAGTAGATCCAGAAATGCAGTTAGTAGCAATAATAATAATAATAATAATAATATATATATATATATATATATATATATATATATATATATATATATATATATATATATATTCAGGGAAATTCAGTATCGAAGTATGACTTCCTTCTAAATCTACGTGCTCGCAACCAACTGTGACTCCTACAAAGCGGTTACCTCACACTATCACTCTCACTCTCACTCTCTCACTGTATCCCTGTCTGACTCTCTCACTCACGGGCATTCACCGACAGCAGTCCGCTTATATGAAAAAGGGGTGGACCCCTTAACAAGTCGGGTTTTCAAGATTTTTTTATCGCCCAATGTTAATGAATATAGTCAGGTATAAAATGATCTTGTTATAATGCTTGCCTTCTTCTGGAACAATATCACCACATGTGTTTGCAAAAAATAAATATCTCTCTGATGTGCCATTTTCGTACTGTTTGGAACTCATCATAGGTTTACTACTAATACATCACTCATAATCCTAAGCAAAACTTTACACCAGCTCCACTTTGTTGACATCTTGATCTTCGAGGGTAACTTCCATCATGATTCACACAACCCTTGATCCACCACTCAGGCTCATTGAAGGTTGGATGTAATTTTTCAATGAGAAGATGGCGATTCAGAGGTTTTTTTTTTCGCGTATTCTCTTTCTACGTTTCATTTTTACTTATTGATGTTTTATCCGTTTCACATTTTGTCACTTGATTTAAGAACTTATATTTTAGGATTTCTAACACTTCATTTTGTTTTTGTCTGAATTTCTGGAATAAGGAGTTATCTTTGTTGTGGCTATCACAAATGTTCGACCGGTGAGCCTTCCAGCTTTCCAAATGCGTATATCGACCTGGGTAATTTTGAACTGTCTACCCACGTAGATTAAACAATGGGTTCAGTTCAGAATTATAAGTTAGCCATATCGTATTGACCATGTTTACCGTAGTCTTTGAATATAGAATCCAGTGCAGTGCATAATGTGTTCAATGGAATAACGCCAATATCACTAGTAGCAGCTGTTCAATAATTCTTCAGGTCTTCGATATAAAAGCTTCGCAGTGAAGATATTTTGGGAGAAAAAACAAAATGGCTGCCTTTATACACGTCGAATTGAATATTTTGAGCTTTCTGATTGGTTAACCCTTCTCTTGGTGGACTATAAAATGAGTCAGCTCATTTTGGTTGGCTCACTAGTACTGCACTACCCAAAAATTACAACAGATCGATATACACCTGAGGAAGGCCGGAGCGCACAACGACTGAAACGTTACGATAGCAACAAAGATGAGGACAATAATCCGAAGATAAAGCATTTAAATCACTTCTTTAATACAGCATCTAAAAATTTGATGGCTTTCCAAAGAAGTATTTTTGATAGGTTATTTCTTGATACGAAATACAGATTACGGATACAATATCCTACTTTAACTCTTAGGCTTATGGCCACATCACATTGAAACATTGGTTTCCGTACGATCAGCGAAGTTAAGCCACGTCGAGCTTTGTTAGTAACTAGATGGGTGACCGCTTGGGAATACCAGGTGCTGTAAGCTTGGATGTGCGGGTGGTGTAATATTTAATGGCTCGGAATTTTTCATTGGAGAGGCGAGTTTGAATTCCAGTTGGGTCGGTAATATTCACTTACGTGCAAATATCCTTTGGAAAGGCATGAATTCGCCATTTCTCCTCCTAGCTATGGGTTAATTAGTAAGACTTGTGTCACTAAACCATTATTATTTCCAAGAATAAAAAAGATAAATGCGTTTGTTGATTGATTCAAAAGTGACTTGACCCAAAGAGTTGTGAGTTCAATCCCTGGTCAGAGAACAAAAACAGGAAGAGTTGACTTATCAAGGAGATTGAAATAAAACTGAGATATCCAAACGTTTGGCACGTGGAATTAGAACAATCTACCTTCTTGAACTAAATAAAGTGTTCGATTCGAAATTCCAAATATCACCTGAAGAAGGACGGCGAGCACAGCGACCAAAATGTCGTAAAAATGACAATAAAGATGAAGACAACAGTCAGCACAATATAAATTGCGTCAAGAAAGATATTTAGATTTCGGTATTAAATAACCTGCAAATGTTTGATATTCCGCTAAAAAAAAAGCAAACATCCACTAACTCTTAAAACATCTGCCACGGAATCGTCCAAGAATTTAGAACAATTTTTTTCCAGTTTTTGTATCCCTGTGAACAATATTTGTAATTTCCACTGTTTTACATTTTGCAAACTGTCCACTTATTAAATTTCTCTTTATCTATTAAAAACAACCTAATCAGACATTTTAAATCTTAGAACTTATAACGTACTTATTAATTTCATATGCAAATCTTCATCTCCTGTACGTGTCAAACATTTTCTTTATATGCTCTTTAGATTTTTTTCTCTGAATGCGCGATGGGACATTGTTTCACATAATTATCTTTTTGAATGTGTTGGCTCTTCTTGAACCATGTCTCTATGTGTGCCTTCAAAAATCAACATTTCACTTCGCCCACCATTTAACTCCCTATAATCCCATCCCAAAACATAAACATACCTTGGGGATATCTTAATCTGTTAGGAGGATTTCCATTAGTATCCCCACCCCCAGCCGATATTCCATCCGTCTGACTCATTAACAGCCGGATAGTATCCGTCCCGGAAAATTAACAACTACTCAGTCTTATCAGGAATTTTTTGTTCTTTCTTGTCTTGTATTCAGAAACGTTATTGGAACTTAACTGTTTCTATTTGGCGTGTGTGGGGAAAATTGTGAAAATGGCCTACCTCGGAAACGCGTTCGAATCTGCGCAGTATTTAAACTCTGGTCCTTCCAACGGTAAAAAAGAAAACCAAAATGGCGGCGCCCGCGTTTTATGCCGAACGGTCTCGGTCAGTTAACGCGAAATCTCGTTGCCTCATGATTCGCATGCAAATCGTGGTCGGTCCGCAGCTGTATAAAGCAGGCTCGTTTCTGCTGTTTAAAATCAGAAGGCTTTCGGCTCGTGAGAAGGTTGGACGTGCGACACCGGTTTTCTTTGTGCCTACCTGCTATCATCAGTTGAATTGTTGAGTTACACACCATAACACCATTCTTACTTGGTGAAGTTTTTGTTTTGTTACTGTTGCTTTACATAATTTTGTCTTGCATATATATTATTTGCTTAGTTTTATTTTATCCTGTCCTTATTTTTTGAGAAATTTATCAATTCCGTTATTGGGCATTTTTACTAATTACACTTCACCATAGCCAATTACTCTACAACATTCATTGGCTTTACATGGATATAACGATATTTTCTCTTGTAAAAAAAAATTCATAGTGTGACAAATTTATTTTTTTATATCTTGCTACAGGATACAGATCGATTAGATACATTCAATTTCCAATTATCAGACTTTCATCAGATTACAAGGAATATAATTCAATTTCTATGATTACAGAATTGATTGAAATTTAGATTGACATTTTGAAAATAAAAACTACTTCAAACAGCAACTATTACGTTATAATTTCATAAAATCATCTCTTGAATCTTTATATCACAAATAATTTTACCTTCTTGGGTATGACAATAAACTACATCCGCGTCCAGGGTAAGACGATAAACTACGTCCAACAGCAAGGCCACTGATCAGGGGACTTTGAGGAGCGTGGAACCACCTCTTAATTGCTGGTGTTCCCAGGTCCAACCTGAGCTGGTGTTGTAGCACCTGTTAGGGTCCCAGCTATTTGCAAGTAGTTAACCCCTAGACTGAGGTAAAAATCATTATGAATGTGTAAAAAGAGGTTTTAATACCAGAAAGACTCTGTAAAAAATTATTACCAGAAATAAATTTTTGAAGAAGAAAAACTCTTACCAGCAATACATTTTTTTTAAATTATATTACCAGCTATACATTTTTGACAAAACAAAAATATTACCAGGAAAAAAAAGTAGTCGGCATTAAATGACCTATTGATGTTGATATGCCGCAAAAGACACCAAACCGAACCAAACAAAACCAAACCAAACAAATAATTTTATTACTGCAAATAATAATTCTGTAATCAAAATAACGTTTCTTTGTTAGTCTTGTTCTTACGAATTTAAAGAATGCAATCTTTTAGAATATTAAATGAAAATTAATGTAAGATAAATCTTCAGTAAGTAACTTTAGAGAGATAAGATTTGTTTGATTAAAGTTAATGCGTCATTCCTCGGTTTCGAAATGGCTCAAATCTATAACTTAACTCTTACGACATTCGATTACAGAGGACAGTTTTTCAATGTCTGGACTGGCCGCGTCTACGATATTATTACCCGTGTTTCTTGAATGTTTATCGATTTTTTTCCAGGTGAGTGTGTATGTCAAAACTAAGAAATAACGTCTGCGACTGAAATTTACGGTAAGAGAAAGGAAGGGCCGGGAGTAAGAATATAATTCTGTCACTCACTCTTTAGAAAATATACATTTGGTTTTTGAAAAGAACAAAATTGATATTCAAGTGATTAAATACTTAAAATTAATTCTTCTAAGAACAATTTTTAGGAGCGTTAGGACGTAATGAGAGATCATTTTGAAAAATATATGTATCGCCCTTCCCTTCTTCACACACACGCACATAATCACAAACACTTACATATATATATATATATATATATATATATATATATATATATATATAGAGAGAAAAATGGGAAGATAGAAGATATAGGAATGAATAGTTCATGCTGACTGCCAATTCTGTTCGTCATACTTCCATCTACATTTGTTGTCTTTTTCCTGAGAAATATGAAAATTATCAAGTTTCTGTGTTACTACTCTTTGCGCGGGCTGTATTTAGGCTATTGGTATCTTATGGAAATGATGTAACCGTGAAACCAGCTTTCACATTTTTTTTTCTTTGCTTAGGGCTAATAATTTTTTACTATACTTTCTGAACTTTAGTTTGTTTATTTTAATAATTATTTATTTTTATTTTGCTTATTTTATTTAAATAAAATTGGAAATAAAAATATATGTATATCAGCATAAAATGGGATCGCATCTAAAAAGAAAAGTTCACTTGTAAAAATAAACGTTAGACCTTAGCTTTAAACAAAAAAGCTAGAAAGAGATGGTTTTCACTTCTTCACCATACCAAAATCCCCCAGTGGCCCATATATAGCCACCATGCAAAAAGGAGGCACATAATTCGAGAACGTTTAATTTAACATACCCTTTCAGTGTTTATTTTTGTGCCCACAGTACTTATATATACAGACGTTCTGTTTGTAATATGGAGCAATCTTCCACCATAATTTCTTATACTCGCGTCCACCCAATGAAATGCCCAAGAGCCACTCAAGACAGAGAATAATTGTATGTTGTTGTATCTGCGTAAGGATGGGCAAGAAGAACAGTTAACTGGGATTAGGCAGGAAAGATAACGGTTAAGCCTGGACTTGAAGAGGTTAAGATTGTAATGATTAGGAGTCTGTTCTTGAGAAAAAGCTGTCCGCATGAAGCATACTTTTTACTATTGAAATATTAAAGGTATGGTGTGAATTCACCGTAGCGCGACGGTTCCCGGATGTAAATGTCAGGGGTGGTTGAACTAAGGAATATAACGTGTAAATTTTTTAAAAATATCACCGATTCTCAAATTGACGGACATAAATATACTGGAATTTTTATTATGTTAAAAAAGGCACGTCGTTCAACATCAAAATGTGAGATAATCCCGTATTTTGCGGGACGATTAGCAACCCTATAAGTAACCTACAGAAATAAATAAAACAATGGAATTGGTAAGAATCCATGACCAATGAATAAAGACAAATCAAGTCAAAATCCGGGGCTTTGAATATACACCTGTGGGTTTCCCAGTTGCTGGGTGTATCCGGCTTTCACTCTACCTTTTCAAGCATACCTGTCACATTCCTCCCAATAAAGCCCTTTTCCGTTTACCTCGACCTCTTTTAACCAAGAACCCTGAACTTCGAGACAGTCCTGATCCATGACGAAGCTCGTTGGACGCGACCAAAACACATAAGATGACGCGTGCGCTGAACTGATATTATATCCACAATACCGAACCATGTTAACAACTCGGAGGAGAGAGTTTCATACTGAGACTTGGTACCGCAGGTCCAGCGAATCATATAGTGTTACCTGTAAGGCGCCTTGGTTCAAAAAAATTTAACAGTGTTAGTTTAAAACAATATATATATATATATATATATATATATATATATATATATATATATATATATATATATATATATATATATATATATATATATATATATATATATATATATATATATATATATATCCTCAGGACACATGTCACAGTGGATAAAGGCGTTGGTTAGATCCAGTGACAGGACCCAAAGAGTGTGAGTTCAATACCCGGTTAAGGCAGTGGAGAACTTTCAGAGGGAAATTAGCAGGAGATAACTGATAACGGACATCCATCAAACATGGCACGTGGAACTAGAACAGTCTACCCCAGTGAGCGAAGTAATGGGTTCAGTTCGAAATTCCAATCACCTGAAGAAGGCCGGACATACAACGGCCGAAATGTTGTGATA